CAGTTGTTAGCAAACACCAGTTGAAGAGGTATAATATTTACCAACGGGCAGATTCAGGGACTGTCACCAGAGGAGCTGGTTAAATGATGTTTGCTGTTCTATTTGTACCTGCCTGTATATTTATGTCTCACTTTGAAATGTCTGTTCAAATCTGTGGGATTAGAGGTGCTTTTTTTGACCATCAAAATGTCCATTCAAATTATTTTACGTGTCCTAAATGCTTCACGTCACCTGCACATGTACGGCGTTCTGGTTATTGGCTCATGTCATGTCATCATTGCTATGGGAATATGTGGATGTTCCTCTGAGATTTTGTTGATCTTAATTTGTTGAGTGAGTCCATAACCAGGACGGACTGTACATGTGAAACCCTTCAGCTGTGGGGATGAAACACACTGGTGCTCTGGTGGTTGTCCTTTTTCTGTTATGTGTTTTTTATTTTTATTTTTTTCTGCACTCTTCCCTCCTCCTACAGAACATACACATTAAAACATTGGCTGATGATATGGTAAGGTGCTTGCTTTGATGTTGGTGTGACTCCTTTTGCTCTTTTTCCTTTTCCTCATCTCATCTCATCTCATCTGATGAAATATGCGAATGGATCAAATCTGCAAAACTGAGAACTCAGACAGCAGCGAAGGGACATTTGAAACACAATCAATTAGGCTTTTGTATCAGTAAAAACGAATGGTAAAATATCCCAAATTTGAAAAAAAAAAAAAATTTTTAAATAATGAACAACAAGAAACTGCTAAAAGTAAAAGCCTCAAATATCCGTCAACTGCAGTGTTTTCAAACTTCGGGTTGCCTAAAATGTCCAGTAATTAATTTAAAAAAATTCCATGACAAAGTGAAGATTGAAAAGAAGCACTCTCTCTTAAATCATCTGAAGCCAGTTTAAAATCTTTGCAGTAGCTTTTATCATTATCCATTGTTTGAAAGAACACAGTATAAAAAAAACATGATAAAAAGGTCTCTGGGCTTGGCAGAAATTATTTAATGTCAATATTGGGTTGCGGGCTAAAATAGGTCGGGATCCACTGACCTACTCTATGTTGCTCTAAGGTGCATCCGAAAACTTGAAGTTACACAAAACAACAGAAACTGTTTAAACAAGAAAAAAAAAAAATTGAAATGCCTAAAGGTAAACCAGAACATGCAAATATTATCTCTGATTTTCTATTTTTTTATTTTTTAGAAATGCCCTTTAAAAGCCTCCTTTGTGTCTCGACCTCCTCCCACTGTGACCCAACAGTCTGAACTTTTAGTCCTTTTACCGAATTGTTTCTCAAAAACTGGCCTCGTGATTTTTCCTCATGATTAAAACATGAATTCCAATGTTGTAATTCTCCACCAACACAATCATCATTTGTGTGTGAGTCGAAGAGAGACTTTTCATTTTAAATAAAAGTTAGCTCAGACTGCAGCAGCTGGACGTGTGAAGCTGCGGCTCATAAATCATTCAAGATGTAATCAGCTCGGCATCTGCACCGGGGGCTTTGCAAATAACACGTTTACTTGTCGTCATCAATGACAGCAACGGCAACAAAAGAGAGAGAGAGAAACTTCTTAGAAACTCTCTGTTCCGTTCGTTTTCTTCGTTCAAATTTCAGGATCAACGTGTGATTTTTAAAAACAGTGATGATTTGTTTGGTCCATTCAGAAATATTTCACTCTTTTTATTTTAACCTCAGCATGTCTTTCTCTTTCTCATCTGACACTGACACATTCGGGTTGCATGCGGTTTTGGTTTGGTTTCAGACTGATACTGTGTTTATCACAGGCACGGTCACAAGAAACTAAACCGTGTGTTGTCAATTGTGCCCTATGGATATTAGAAACTCTCAATATTGCTGAGTGCAAACTGTAGTCAGTGTGTTTGTGCTGAGCGTTTTTTTTCAGCTACGACGGTGAGTAACCTCTAGATTATTGGCAGTAAAGCATGTACAAACTATGACATTATCAAGTACAAAGTTATGGGAAATGCCAGCAGAATCTCGAAGAAGCAAGAGAACTGAAATATATTCTGCAGATAAATTAGCGGTGAAAACGTATTTATTTATTTTATTTTAATTTTTTTTAGATATATGAGAGACACAAGTTATACATGGAATGAAAGCTGACTAACCCAGACTAACTAACTTCTAAGTTGGATGTGTTTTTCCTCGACAATAGGTGGAAATTAGAACAAAATAATGATAAAAAAAAAGAAAAGATAATGAGCTAAAAATATATATTTACCAATAAAACCTGAACCAATTAATTTTTGATATTTTAACAGACAAATTTAAATACAATTTGAAAACAGACTATCATAGATAAAATAAAAAACCCTTTTCATATTAGAGTTTGAAATGTGTCAAAAAATGATGATGATGATGATAAGTAATAAATCAAATGCTATCAGATTAATAAATTCAATTAAACTTATGAAAGTAGCTTAATGAGTGAATTCCATGACTTTTGGTCCCGGATAGTTGCTTGTTACTCAATGTAATGACTTTTATATACATTTATATCTTTTGACAAAATCACTTCCAGGAATTTCTTATCCTTTGCTTTTCTCCTTTCAGAGAGATCGCATTACAAGTTTTAGGAAAGCCGGCATGAAGAAGGAAAAGCCCTTGATCCAACATCCGACAGATCCCCTGTCGACTCAGGCTGAACTTCCTGTTCCTCAGCTGTTCTTCGACGACCGCTCCACGAACCTCTCAGAGAAGGAGATCATTGACCTCTTCGAGAAGATGATGGTGAGTTGGTTTGATTGATTTTCTTCATCAGGCAAGGCGTTTTACTACACCTGGCTGAAGCATAATCATGATCAGAATAAGAAATAAACGCCATGGTATTACTCGGAAATCACAAAGTAGTGCATAAACCCAATGTCCTCGCATGGGTGGAATATACTTGTTTTGTGGAGTTGATAGAGGGATTTTAAAGTTTGAAAAGAACTTGAATGAGCCCGCCCGCAGTGTTTACCCACAGATCCGCACAGCCTTGTTCTACTGATGGTGAGATTTCTGTTTGGGAGTCTTGTTAGCGTAGGATGCTGGTAAATTCACTGCTTTTCAAAGGCTTTTCCCAGTTTTAACCCAACGTCTGTGTCATCATCTGTTTTAATTAAATGGAATTCGAGGATTTGCGCACCACCCATCTTTTGGACATTCTGACTCCTATATGTAACAAGTATATAGGAACATCTTCACATTAAATGAAATAATAAATTATTGTATTGTTTTGTTAAAAAAAAACACGAAACATGTAGTGTTTGTGCTTTTTTTTTGCTTTCAAAGTTTAGCACGCGGGACAAATTGAACCCCCTAGCGGCCTGGTTTTGGCCCACGAGCCGTACCAAACCTCAAACTTTTGATCAATTTATTATAATTAATTAGTGTTTTTTTTTATTTTAACCAACTCTGATAACTGTTAGTAGTGTCATAGTCATGGCTAATAGCTAGGAGATGTTAGCTAGGAGAGATAACTGTAGCTCAGGAAAGGTAATAGTCAACTTCAACTAACTACATATTTACAATAAGTTCCTTTAAAGTTATCTACGACAGATGATATTCAAACAACCAAGCCCAGCTTTGAGAAAAGCTGAAACGGATCTCAAATAGAGCACATAACAGCTAAACGGGAAAAGAGCTGTAAATTTTGGATAGAAATAGCTTGTTAATTTCAAACGTTGCCAAAAGGAAGCCAAGAACATCGGTAAATAAAAGGACTCAATTGTTCCAGTGCCTTTGCAACTCATTTAATGCCTTACTTTGCTTGTATAGCAAACGTTGGGTAAACTAAGGCCCGGGGGCCAGGTGTGACCCGTTTAGCTTTTTATGCTAGGCCGCCAAACTTTTCCATATTATATAATTTATTCATATTATCATTATACTTCTGCCTTTTCCCTGCAATACCAACGTTTCCCCAGTAGATGGCGTAGAAAATGATAAAAGTTAGCATTTTAACCTTTATCTTAGCTTACACAAACGCTCCATCTATCCGCTCCTGACCCGTCCCCCTTGGTCAATTTTAGGACAGTTGTGGCCCGCGGGTCAACAAGTTTGCCCACGCCGGTTGGACAGGATAATTGATGAAGCATATAGTTAATAATATTTAAAAAAAAAAAACAAAATCCCTGTTTGGTATTTTCTACCATGCTATCCGCCCTCACCCTCATACATTTTCATTTGGCAACTTTGGTGTGGTAAAAAACATTAGTTTGGAATTCTCTTCACGCTGATCAGCCAGGGTCAAAAGCTCTGTCACACTTCAGATTTTTCTCCGTGGCCTCATGTAGTGGAGAATTGAAATCTAACAAAAAGCTTTCAGACCATCTCTTTGAAGTGTGGAGTGGAATTACTCTGGCTCCATCGCTCAGGTCGTGTGGACCATTGTAGATAATGCCTCTCTCCCGATGCACGCGCCTCTGTCTGTCAATGTGTGTCTGTGTGTGTGTGGTCCCCTCATACAATAGTCCTTTTCGGCAGGGCCACAGGGATGCAGCGGTGCTCCTGGTTTTCATCAGACCTGCTGCTTAGTGTTTTCTTGCCTGGCTGCTCATCCCTGTCACTCACTTCACCTCTCAATTACTGTGTTTGTGCTCACGTCTGCGTGACATTAAAGCCAGGATTCCACCGGCTCAGTGACACACTGCACGCCACAGGCGCCGTAACCGTGACATTTCTCAGGGTGGAGAAATATAATTACAGTAATGAAATCAAATAGAAGAAGAATGTCAAATACTTAACTTTTCTGCTGTGGTAGAAAAACCACGAGACCTACTACTTGCTACTGTTTGTCTTTGCTAAGTCCAGAACTACACAAAACTCTTTTTTGGTATACCCAAAAAAATAATGACGGGGAAGTTTAAATTTGACCTGGCTAAAGTTCTTTTGTGTACCTTTTTCTTGTTTTGGTAGACCCAAAAAAATAATGACGGGAAAGTTCAAATTTGACCTGGCTAAAGTTCTTTTGTACGTCAAATAAACTGTAGTAAACATGTGTCTCGTGGCGCTTTGGCCCAGAGGCAACGTCTCTGTCATTGGTGTGGACCCCCAGGGTTCCCCTCCTGGGCAAGTTCGAATCCCGGGTTAGGGCGGTTGGTACCTTCCAGTGGACTCACCACCTGCAGGAAGGTTTAGGGGGGGTTGGTGCGGTGCAATGTGATCTCGGTAATGGATAAGCAGCTGAAAATGGATGGATGGATGGAAACGTGTGTCTCAAACTAGTATCAGCAAAAACATATTTGAGGAAGCCTAACTATGCGTTAAATATCGGACTACTTACGAAAATATCTGATTACTATTGGCTCGGTTAAAATGACCCGATTGCTATACTAGGGGCTGCGGTGGTTAAGGAAGTAGACTTGGGTCCCGGAGGGTTTCAGGTTGGACTCCAACAGCTGCCAAGTTACCACCGAGGTGCTCCGAGCATGGCACCGTCCCCACACGCTGTTCCCCGTGCGCTTGAGCTGCCCCCTGCTGACTTTAATGATGGGTTAAAAGCCGAGGTTACGTTTAATTGTGTTGCAGTGGTGTCACAATGACAAAGTAGTTCACTTTCACTATTGAACAAACTCATAAGAAGTTCATGTAAAAAAAAAAAAAAAATACCCCAACTTGATGATCAACATCATCGCCATCCTTTACATCAACTTCATATTTGGCAAAATGTAGTTTTATATAATCAAAAAATAAGATTTTCTACAACCTACAAAGCCACATCCGTGTCAGTTAGCGCCTGGCTCCTGAAGAAAACAGTAATGAACGCGAGACAAAAAAAAGGAAGAGAGAACAAAAGAACAATTAGTTAGATGTGTACGGTTTGGAAGCCAGAACTGCGACGTGAGTGTGAACTTTTCTGCTTTGATGAAAGCACTGACAGTATTTGTTTTTTTTTTTCTTCTGCTGTAATCAGCTCCTCCGAAGCCTTTGCGCCGTTCATGTCACACCACCCCGACATTTGTAGTCTTTTGTCTTCACTCCCTCCCTGTTATTGATTGTTGTGATGGAGCTACATGCCCCAGTCTCAGATGTGTGCTGGATGACTGACCCTGGTCGTATTAACCAGACCCCCTCCTGTGCATTAATGACTCGCTGCAGTTCACACCATTGTTTTCTGTGTCTCCGAGGCCTGAACTGCACACTGCCTAATAGTGACAGGTCATCAAAGGCTGTGGACAGAAGATGGGAAACACACTTCAGCAGTCGGGTGGGGGGAAAAAAAAAACAAAAAAAAAAACAACAACAAACAAATTGAAGTCCGTGATATAATTTTTTTTAAAAACTGGCATCGGAAGCATAAGTATGTCCATAAAACTACCGTTAAGTTACCGAGGTAAAATACATGTTGCATTTTCCAGGCTACGCACAGCTGGATTTCAAAGTTGCTCATCAAAAACTACACTGTAATAAATAAATCTGCTGATGTCCAGGATTTGCATCTCGGCAGGGAGTCAGCGGAAACATAAAAGGCCTGAACTTTAAGGCTTTGTATTTCTTTTTTTCTATACAGTTTACATTTTGGATAAAATGTTTGTAAAACAGCAACCAAATGATGTTTACGAAAAGTATTAAAAAATGTCGAAGGAATAAGTAAAACACAACAATAACTAAAATAGAAAAAAAAATAATCCAAGTTTCTTACATGTAGGTAAAATATTGACAAATCACAGAAAGTTAGTCAAGAAATTACGCAACTGTGAAAACACATGACAGAAGCTGCCCTGAAATAGCAACAATAAAATTCCCCTCGATGGAAAAACTCCTGTTTAAGGAGTTCCTCCTTTGGCCCCAGCTATCACGAGCTGACATTGTTATTAGGATGGATGTGGTGGCAACGTGCTCTTGTTTCTCTGGAACCATTCTTCCTAGATTTATTTTTTTTTTTATTGTAAGTAGCAGCGTATGGATGTGAGGTGCTTGTAGAGACGACTGAGCAGTGAAGGAATGTCACATTGCTCTGCCGTCGCCGCTATATCCAGGTTTTATGTAGCTCTATATGGGGCCTGTGTCACTCCTACTAATAAGGTCTTTGTGATCCGTCGGCAGTTTCACCCCAACCCCGGACATTAAAAACCAGCCCATAACAGAGAGAAAGACACAGAGCGTCGCTCTATGTGTGTTTGTGTGTCTGCGCTGACACTTTCATGGAGCAGGCTTGTGGGCAAAATGATCGATTTGTCACAGTCAGAGGAGAAACATTTTTATGCGTCTTGATTTTTTTTTGCTCTTCTGAGATTTTTTTTCTTTCCCTTCATCACCACAACATTGGTGCTGCTGCGACCGCCGTGTATTTATTTCACTGTCAGAAGCATTTGATGGTTGTCATTAATTGCTGTTTTTGTCGGTCTGCGGTTCGCCAGATGAGGTCGTGTTTGTAGACGCGCAGAAGACAGTTCAGCGGCTTCTGTCTGTTGGGTCATATTTCTAATATGATTAACTCCTAATCAAAATCAGTACGGTAGAACCTCGCGATACGAGCATAATCCCTTCCAGGACCGAGTTCGTAACTCGAGGTGCTCGTATCTCAAATCATTTTTTCCCCCTAAGAAATAACAGAAAAAAAAAAAAAATCAGTTCCGGCCCTTTAAAAACTCCCTTATTAGTGCTAATAACAATGGTAAAAACATGTTTTTAATTGCTAAAAATATGGTTTTAATTATGAGATCTTATCTTCGAGAGAGAGACGATACATTAGCGGCTAATGTTTGGCGGAGGACGAGGAAAGGAAGGGAGTTCGCCCGTACGTAGACACTTGATTCCGTACCGTACCTTCCACGTACACTACATAACTTACATAAATTTAGAATTAACTTATTTATTAACTTACTCTTAACGGATTTCAGAATAAAATAAATCTGTTCCGGGCCTCTAAACACTCCCTTATTAGTGCTAATAACAATGGAAAAAAACATGTTTTGAAATGCTATAGCGACATATACACACACACACAAAATTATAGAGTCCTGTGATATAAAATAAAATGTGGATTTAATTATGAGTTTTTACCTTCAAGACAGACAGATACAGTAGCGGCTAATGGCGGCATGTGCGGAGGAGGAGGAGGGAGGGAGGGAAAAGAGTCGGCTCGTACGTAGACACAAGTCAAGACTCTCTTAGGACTCATCACTAATATGTAGAATAATTCACAAAATAGAGAGAAAATCACGTAGATAACGCAAACACAATACGGAAGACTCGCGGGAGATGCGTACAAAGTGAACGAGTGAGGCGCCGCGGGCTGCTCCGAGTGCTCGACCACCTAGCGTCGGCGTCTCTAAGCGTGTTCGTATCTCAAATCTTTACGCGTGTCTCGAAGCAAAAAATTTGCTCAAAGGCCTGCTCGTATCTCGGAATACTCGTATGTCGGGACGCTCGTATCTCGAGGTTCCACTGTATAGTCTTTGTATTTTTCAAACATGGGCCGTTAAATCACAAAATCATTTAAGTCACGACTGTTAAACAGTACCTGAATTTTTTTTTTTACCCCACCACTTTCTGCTGCTGCTGCTTTTACCACAGGCCGCACAGTGGTGGTAGTGGGAACTGCTGTTGCCTCACAGCAGGTAGGTCACTGGTCCATCTCTCCTTTTGTACAGATGGCATGTTGGTGCGCATTTTGACCTTCTGACCTGTCTGCTCGTTTTTCTTGTTTTCAAATGTCAAGAAAAAGTGATGTAGTGAGGTATTAATTATAATACTCTATACTAAACGTTCTTATAGGATTCAGGTTAATACTTAAGTTTGAGAAAATATAGACCTGCTACCATACCACTTTATATAAAACTGTCTAAATTAAATAGAACTGTGTATAATGGAACCATCTGTCACTCTGCTTGGTGTGGACCAATCGTGACTCGGCAGTTAACCTTGCAATTGGAGCAGGGTTTTTAATTTGAAAGAAAGACTTAACAAGTTGGCACACACTTTCAAAAATAGTCATTGGCTCCAAACCTGATTTCAGAGAACTGTCTGCATTAACATCCTCTTTTTTTCTTTTTCTTTTCTTTTTTTTTTTTTTACGATATCAAGCCTGTGAATTTCTTGCAAATCCCTCTGACGTTTATCCAAAAACTCAGATCTCATCACTTTAGCTGCACCAGCAACATAGTTGGACATATCCTGGGAGTTTTTTTTTTTTTTTATCAAGCCTGTGAGTGTATATTAAATAAAAGAGCATTAATCATTTTGGAGACTGAACACACAGGGCTCATTCCTTCAGTGTGCCCCCCCCCTTGGCAATCCTCCCGTAGGCTCATTGCGCCGATTCCCTCTCCAGCATACTCACTCCCTGACACATCTCGCCTCATTTGTTGAATGGCAATTAAGCAGATAAATTAGCAGGGTTCAAAGATTAATTACTAAAACACTGCTGGTTTCCATCAGTTGGAAAACCTGCCAATTGTGAGAGTTCCAATTTTTTTTTCCCTTTTCCCTTTCCGCTAGAAAATGTAGTGTTCTTTTTTATTTTATTTTTTTTTCCAAGCTCTAAGAATACAACTAGAGGAAATGTAGTTGTAGTGAGAATTTGGGTCACCGTGGCCTAGATGATATTCTGGCTCATGCATCACTGACAAAGGACGCAGAATCAGACTGAGTACGACAGCGAGTGGTTAGATGCTCAAACTGTTACATAATACAGTGATCCTACTTAAAAGTGACACCCTTATCTTATCATAACTACATTGTGTCTGACTACTACGGTCTGTCAGATCCCCCAAGTCAGAGGAGGCTTTGCTCTCTCTCCGCTCTCCTAGACCAGCAGAGGGCAGCATGGCTCCACATCTAAAGCTCCCCCCCACCCCACCCCTTCTCCTCATCCTTAAAAGACGGAGGAGGATATTTTATTTTCTTTCTCTTCATTGGAGCCATCTCTTTGTGAGTGAGTGCTTCTGATAAACATCCCCCTCCGTTCTAATCATCATGTCATTCCCGAGCTTTTAGTGCTCTGTCCGGCCTTCGCTCCATCCCTTTCGCGTCTCTCACATGAAAGACATCTTTTGTGATGCAGAATTAAAGAAGGCACAAAGATAATACTCCCAATAACACACAGATACTGCCTTTTCAGCCCATCTGATGTGATTGCATGCCCTCAGTAGAAGCAATGTTGTTTCCAGTTT